TGTGAAATGAAAATGATTGGAAATCTTGGCGATTAGATCGCGACGATTGAGTCGCGTGAAGTCTGACCGGGGCCTTAGGTCAATTTCTCTGCGTAATATTCGACAACAAATACCAAATGCCGTCATCCTGTTACTCAAATCAAGGTAATCAGTCGAGAACTCCGTTATTTGCAAAAACTTTGTCACAAGTATTCCAAGTCATGCGAAAAATGATATCCTTGTAAAATTATTAAATTTCAGGCTTCGAAATCATCTTTTATCATGTCGGACTCCTTGGGAACAGTACTCGAAATGTGGGAGCTTGTAGTTAACAACTTCCTTGGTCCCAGAAATCTTTCAAAATGCGAAAAAATCATGTAAGCTTTTTTGACACTACCATCAATATGTTCATTTAATCTAACTTGGGAAACTTACTTGCAATGTGGTTACTCAAATTTAGAAACTTACACTTGCCAAGATTCGACGAAAGCCTATTAATTGCAGCCCAAGTATTCAAGCTGCTGACTAAGTGATGTCTGCACATTATGGAAATCAGGTTCATTATGAAAAGCACAAAGTTTGATGCCGTTAGAATGAATTTGTATCTTGACTTTATTCAGAATGGTTCAAAATGGCAAGGAGTTTGATAGTAAGGACAAAAACAATAAAAGACAACAATCTAATCTAGGGCACACCACTGGTATAGGGCGGCCGGCTAAAATGAGACTGACCAGCTCTCATTGTCATGAATCGATTTCCAAGTAAGGGAACCAATTCAGAAGGTTTCAATTATTCACAATTCTAAAGCTTGTGCGGAAGAGTTTTATAAGCTATCTTACTGAAAGCTTTCGAAGATAAAAATACCCAGCAACTTCCTAGAATGTAAAGCTATCTTCCAAACAGAAACACATTCTACTGAATCAATAGCAGTACTTCTGCCTAAGACTTTATCCATCCAGACTTTATCCAGTAATCAATCCCTGTTGATCTTTTCCATCATTAATAGGCTTAGCTATCAAGCTCATAGAGCAAAAATCATTGGCCTTGTTAGCAGTAGGTGTTTTAGGGATGGCAATGGCTTCGTTCATAATCAGGGCTCGGCACAGCTGGCATTGGGTCAAGCTAAATATCGTTTGTAGGGCGAAAAGTAAGGGGGATATCTTTTTGCCGGAGTCCGGGGCGGGGAAGAGCCGCAAAAATGCCGTCGGCATACCACCGGCATGCTGTCCATCAAACAAACAAAGGTGTTATTTTCAGCAAAAACGCAAAAGTATGACACCAAATTTGGTGTGTGCATGCGCATTGCGGGACCCGAACTATGGCCCAAAACTTCATGAAAATTTATGTGAATAAAAGCTGTGCTGAACTTTTTTCTGAATTAGCTGGCACCGTGTTAGCTGGGGGCCAGCTGAGCTGTCACCGACACTTTGCTCGCATAAGTTTTCATACTTTTTTTTTACATAAAATGTATCTACACTGTAAAAGATTACATACAGAGAAGAAAAAATTTCATAATGTTTCCTTTTCAGCGTTTTATAGCCATCTGAAAATTACTTGGCGTGTCTCGCAGTCAAGAAATCGGCTTTTTCTGCTTCTCAAGATGTGTTTCAACCACTTAAAAAGCTCAAAAAGCTGTGAAAGGTTGTTCCATGACTACAGATGCATGAAAACCCTACTACATACTTTTACATAACCTAAAGATAATGACGGGTCTTCAAAACAAGTCAAAGGGAACTTCGTACGAGATTTTCAAGAACAAACCGGACTTCGGTTTGAAATTTCCCTGGTGCCAGCTCGTGCCGAGCCCTGTTCATAATTCAGGGAATGAATTAATCAACTGAATCAACTGAATTATGAATCAGGAAATTTCACAAATATAATAGAAAGGTTGAAAAAATCGCATAAGCTTGGAAAGGGAATCAGCGCATTTTTTGTAGACAATCGGTGAGATACCATCATAGATAACCGTGCACGAAGGGAATTGAGAATGGCCGTCACATCAGCTTCATAGAACTATCTCATTTTGACACTTCGAGGAGGAAGAAGCATCCCCTGAGAAGTTCTCGGTTTTTGGTAGGTGACGGGAATACGCTCGCAAGTAAATTATTTGACTAGGGCAACAGCTTCTTTACGATCTTGTGCACAGCTCTCAACGATTTGTTGAAAAGAACGGATGGACTTGAACTCGGAGCTTGTTTCGTATAAATGATACATTAGATGACAACCGACGCTATTAATTCGCCGAAAACTTTTTCAGATAAAAACAAACCAGCACAAACCTTTAGCGAATTCAATAGTAAATCCCGGAGAGTGTTGAAGGGATCACGCTTCCGCTTAATCAAAGTGCATATCTGTTTAAAATAAAGAGTAATTGAGGAGTTTCCAGCTCTGCTCATGGCAATTGGTGACACCGTCACAGTTGCTTGGACAAAACCTCTGATGAATTCTTGCTTTGAACAGTAGCTCATGAATAGCGATGTCCAATCGAAATCAAACAAAAAGATGTGTAACCAATCTGCAAATTCCGGGATGGATAAATTGACTGAAGGAAGAAGCTTTCTTAAACATATAACTGACTTCATGGTCTGCAGTAGAAAAGGGAAGATGAAATTGTGTTTTCTTCAGACATTTCACAGGAAATTCCGCAAGACAAGATGCAGCGGTTGCGCTTTCAAATGGGTACCCCCCTTTCAAGTCAGATTAGTTCGAGAGCTTCTGCAGGACTTGTTACAAAACGCTGCGAAAATTCCGAAAAATGCTAGCGGTTCCGCAGCACTTTGACTTGCCAGTACTTCCGCAGTTTTTGAATGTGTTTTCTCTTACGATGCTGCCCCACCAGAGTGGATTGTCGAATATGTCATCCGTAGTGCAGAGGATAGTAAGTGAGTTTTGCAGTCAATAGAGCAATGGAAAACCCTAAAAGGGAACTGACGAATGAGAGAGCATTAAATAGATACATTAGTTGTTAAAGCTTGAATTTTACACTCAACCGGTTTCGGGGCTTAGAACTATACCGGTGGAGTAGCTTTCTTGGTGCCCCTCTTCAGTAGTTTCTAACAAAGCTGCAAAAGTTGTGAAAATGGTTTAGTTGCAAAAAACTTTTGAGTGTGTTCCTCTCAAGAGAATGCGAAAGATAAGTAGAACCAGGAGACTGTCTATGACTAAAGTAGAAAATGTAAGAAGAAGATGCATAGGAACAAAAGATTGTCAATGACTCTTGTAGAAAATGCAAGAAGATATTGTAATAGTGCATGACTGAGATCTCGATACGTACACTGTTATTCATACTGAGTTTGAATGCGACCTAGTTATTCAGGCGCGCAGATACAGCTGCAGTACGTTGAAGATCGAATGTTCTAGTGCTGGTTAACTAAATGCTTGAGGCATAGGTTAGTTTATAGAAATGTATAATATCATGGCGCGTAGTAAAGCTCGATCAGTTCAGGTGAACTGAACTTATCCCGGGCGGTCATCAGTTCACCTTAGGTGAGGTGAACTGATGACCGCCCGCCTTCCCATGCTATAAGCATGGCGAGTGGACTGATAGTTGACCATCTGCCCACCTGCTGCAGTCAACTCGTGCACATCAGTTCAATTCATCATCAGTTCCTCACTCTTACATCAGTTCACGTTCAGTTCAGTTGAACTGAAGTGAACTGATGTAAGAGTGATGCAAATAGTGTAAAAGAGGAGACGCAGACAAGACTCCCGTAAGTTGCTCCTGAGTAACTTACGATACACATCAGTTACGCTAAAAATGCAGACAAAATCAAAGCAAAACTGCACATTACCGCGACCCGAAAAGGAGAGGATCGATGAGCAGCTGATTTTGGCGAGGAAAACATGAAAACCTTTTTCTCTTTTTTGCAGAGGTCACTGACTTTTTCCTTTGACAAGCTGCTCAAGGCGAGAATTTTTAGATTTATTTCATTGGATTCATGTTGCAGTTATTTCAATTTCCCATGATGTTTTCGTCAAAAAATGCATTTTGTTTCACCCATGCATTTTCTAGGCGAAATCATTGATAGCGGTCATCATCGATTTTCCGATAGTGGTCGCTATCAAAAACGCCCTGCGATACAGCAAAAGCGTGACGCTAGCCGGTATCGAACCATGGCCGTTCAATTTCAGTCGTTTACCTGCTCGATCAAAGCTCAAGTGGTTGCCTTTTCAAGAGCGAACATGATTATCATGTCTAGAAAGAGATCCGCATCCAGATCAATAGTTCACTGCATGCTGGACTGAGGCGCAATGAGCTCGCCCCCGGTCCGCGCCAAGAGAGATGCACTGATGGGGGGTTTACTACGAGCCCATAAGTTTGTCATTAATGTGAAAATTGGTGATAACCCAACATCCTGTTTGATTGCAAAATTTTGTGTTAGACTCCTACGTTCGTAAATAACACGGTTGTTGACCCTGTATTGTGTCAGATATTGTCTCCTATCAATCGGATTCTATTCGGAGTTCCCCTATTTCGTGGATTAATGGTATATGAAGGGCTACATCAAAACCATATTTGCGCAGTATGGATTGTCTCTTAAAGCGTGACATAATATTCTAATTAATATTATTCTTTCCCAACCATTTTTTTTACAAAGTTTGCATAATGGCAGTAGCCTGTCTTTGAAGGTTATCAGGGCCCGGCACGAGACCGTTTCTAGGGTTTTTAAAAACGAAGTCCCCCCTGACTTTCGAGAATTTTACGAAGTCCCCTTTGACCCTTTCCCTACCCCCCCCCCCCCCCCCACCTCCACCGAGAAGCCAACAAAGGTATAGAGTATTTGAAAATTGTATGACGCGACCGCGCGCGACACGCATGTCACTTGAGGAAACGGCATTTTCTCGGCTTTACCTCTTTTCGAATTGTTTTTTTGTCCAAGTGTGATAACAATTAGATAACTGGAAGTGACTGAGCTGAACGTTGAGGTGATGCCCTCTTGTATGAGCGTTTTATGCATCTGTGGGCGCAAAGTCCGCAGTAAAATCCGTCGTCACGATTTTATAAATGAACTATATCTCAAGGGAACAACTTTATTAACTTCATAATTCTTGGCACATCACATAAAGCTTCGAAAGCCTGGTCCATGCGTTCACGCATAGTGGAGCTTTCAGACTGCAACGATTTTCAATGAAATGGATGAATAATCAAAAGACAAAAAACAAAAACAAAATGACGAACATTATACTCATCTCTTCTCTAGCTGTACGACCGTCCTTGTCAGAAGGCGCGAGGGAGTCAAGGGATGGCGATCCAAACACGCATAGAGTGGTAGTTTTGCAGACAGGTGTAAAGCTGAAAGATTGTGATAACGCTACACAGATCTTTCGTTGTCTAAGCTCTAAAATTTTCAACTCTCGCAACCTTGAAGGTAGTGTATTTCAAAACCACCTTGAAAAACTGATGTGAAAATCTGCGATGACAACTACAACGGAACATTGTTGAAATTCTTAGAAATAAAGTTTTTTTTTCAAGAAAAAAGAAGTGTGTACCAATGCAATGTATGACAGCCGGCATTACTTCACAAAAAGGTCTCACATGTAGGACGGATCCGACTTAGCTAAGTACCAATGATGCAAATCGATGTATCAATATCCACACCGAGAAACATCTTGGTGAACGGATGATAGCCTTTTACCTCCAAACATTGCAAAGATACACAAAAAAAACTCAAGTACACCCGGTAAGTAGTCATTTTCCATGCAAGTAAATCCCATCTAATGCTCAATTTCAATTGTAGAGAATGCACTTTGACTTTTTTTGCCAGACCCCCTGCTTTTGAAACAATATCAGAGTAAGCTTTGGCACCAGCAAGAATGTGCGACCGAATTATTGTAAAAAGACTTTTGGAAGTGGCTGCCTCCACGCTCGCTTTTGGAAATCATCCGGCTATAGACGCAAAACACTAGAAAAGCATTCCAAAAATGTTTGGAATCCATGGCTAATGCGAGCTCCCTCGTTCAAAAAAAAAACTCCTGCCACGACCCACTACCCCCCTCCTAATATCAACGATGTAGGGTAGCTTGAGAACTCCAGCATTATTTCGTTTTCATAAACGTCAAACAGACCATAAGCTAAATTCACATTCCCAGTCAAAGTCAGTCAAAAAAAAGGAAGGCAAGGTAAGACCAAGAGACTTCAATATGAAGCGCTTGTTGTGAAGGGAGGTATGACAGGCTATATGAATCAATCAAAATACATGCTACAAGTACAAGTTCGATTCATATTTGATGAAAAACAAATGGAAGGAGAACAAGCGTCACAGAAACTCAAAAATCAACCCTTTGAGGGAAACACGCCTTACCTCGCTCCTGAGAAGACGGCATCGGTCCAGTTCGTCCTTCAGTTGTATAGCATATCCATCATCGTCTGTTGCAACCACTTGACTGAAGCTTTTAACTAGCTTCGTTGTAGTTAAATGGACGCTTTTTAGAATGGATTACCTGACGTAACAAACGGATAAGGATGAAAGATAAGACTCTGACTTCTTTTTACCTCACTGTCTTTCAATTCTCTCGTTAAGTACTCATCGGTGCGACGATTTTCCTTATCAATCCGTATAATATTATCTTTTGAACCTTGCGATTTTTCCGTGCCAGTTTGCGATAGACCCTCAACCTAGTCATTAATCGACTTCAAAATAAACAAAATAGTTCTCTTACCTTGCTGTAATGTTCAACAAACCTTGGTCCGCGTGAACGACGTTTGGGGATTGCCTCGAGAGGGCACCTCGTACGTGCCATCCGCAGACATCATTCCAGCCATAAACTTTGACGGGCTGTGCACTGAAGTTCGGGAAATTTACCTCATTAGACTCACTAACCAACAGAAGATCAGTACATATAACAGCAAAAAACGACTGAATTCGTATGGTTGAGCTCTAGATCTTCACAGAAGACTTACTGCTGCTCCATTTCTGTAATTTCTCCCAGGAAATGAGATGAAACGCAGGCAAAATTGAAATCATAACCTTAATAATGTTCAAATTCAAACTTACCTCGTCATCGACAGAGACCACAGGCACATTTTCATCTTCAGCCATCGCAACTAGGGTGCTCAAGCAGTTTCTAGGCTCGCTCAAACTCATGCACAGCACTTCATGTGGCCACGATGTGCGCTCAGTGAATTCATTCAGTTGCCCAGTCTAAATGAAATACTTTCGCGGATCTTCAAGGGCCACGAAAAACAAATGGAAGACAACCTACCGAGTCAAGCTCGAAATACACAGGCTCGCCACCAGCCAGCGCAACCACAACCTGCTTTCTAAACGTTCATCTTCACTACCAAAAAAAAACTAGGGGACCAAAATTAGTGCATTAAGAGATAAAATGGGAAAAACACAGACAAGTAACAAAAAATGAACGTGATTTGCAAAATCCAAGAAGAAAACTAACCGATTCATAGCAAATTTGACATCAGCGATCTCTTTTGCCAATTCTACTTTTTCCATGTCAGTGGCTAATCGCACAATGTCCTGAAATTCAATATAGAACGAATCAAAAGCACAATGCAAAAATCAAAGACGACAATGAAAGAATTAGAACGACAACAACAGACGAAGGAAACACCAAAGTTTTCGCTCGGAGCAACGCGGAATTGGCGGTGGGGCGCGATATCTAACATCGCGAATTTCGGGAAAAAAAGCTAAAAAACGAAGGAAAGGCAATGATATGAAAATGTTTTTATGCTCAGGGATAGATTTTTGACCGGGGCATCCGTCCATGCTGAAAAGATCCAAAACTTATGTGAAGTGAAGGAAATATATGCTCCAGACGATCTCAGATCGTCTGATGGCCGTCTGGAGACGATCTAATTTTGGAAAACATATTACTTCACATAAGTTTTCAAAACTTTTCACATAATTCTTCCGCAAATAATTTTCTATGTATACAGTTCAATTTTGGTGTCATATGGTTGTGTGTGCGCTGTAAACAAGCGATTTGTTTATTTTAGCCTTGCTTTCAAATCGCGCGCACTTTTCGCTGTACACGATAGAGCATTTCAGTCGTGTGATAACCTGTCTGGAAAGCTTGTATCCATCATCGTTCATATTCAACCATGATACGTTGCATATGGTTCATTCGCTTCCATACTCACGAGATATATTAAGGACCGATACGCGAGTTCGTGGTTTGAAAGAAATGTTTTAATTCAACGACATTACAGGATATAGAAGGAGAGGAAATGATTGGTCTCGCACTGTGGTAAATATGCTTTCTTATTTCTGTTCCACTCACTGTCAAGTTAAATAGGTTAGGTCAGCCGTATGTGTTCCAACACTAAGGAAATTGCGAACATTTGCTTCTTTCATGATTTGCGGTTGTTGGAAGAAAACGAATGTTGAAGTGAGTTGCTTTTGTGCGAATTGGGTATGTCGGTTGGATTCTCTGTTGTGCAATAATTTGAGATACTGACATTTTATCTTGATACATGTGATCCATAGTTACCACAGATTCTTTCAGTAAACGCATATATATATATGTAGAGAAGTTTGGTTGAAAAGCTAGATGACTTCATCATGAGCAATCATTTGACACAACTGAACCTCTAATGGTTTTTTAAGGCGTTGGACTGCTATCTGATAGGCATTGGACTGCTATCTGATGGTAATGCTTGAGAAGAAGAACATGCTGTTCTGCATATGCACGTGGTTACGCAGCGTGAGTACATATCATATTTTTCTTTATGTTCATTAGTTTATCTTGCTATAGTGTAGTTTTAGTCCTTCTTGTGTAAATTTGTCTTTTGTGCATCAATACAAGAACTATTCCGGTCATTGCGCTATCGCTCGAAAACTAAATTGTTGTCTCTCACATTCAAACATGTATTTTGTTTCCTATCAAAATATTATTTTGATATACTGTATCAAAATGTTTGTCGTAGAAGAATGAATAGAATAATCGTGTGACCCGTCCCTGTTTCGAGATCCTGTGGCAAACATCAACGACGTTTGGAAACCTTTTGATTCTTTGGTTTAGCTGGGCTTTTCATCAGTATCGTGCTTTCCATTCTTTCGCATCTAAAATTCAGATGCATCAACCTTTGGAAGAGAATGACGAACGAAACTTTTTATTTCTGAAAGCAATGCAAAGCAACGACACTCCAGTGTTCTGCAGAGACACACAGTGAGTGCTGCTCTCGTTATTAGACGTAGACGACAACTTTCGTATAGCTTCGTTGTTTTTTAATATTTGTCATTCAGATAGATAAACTGACAGAGTGATAATGAATAGTGGTTGGAAAGAAACTGCTCGACATCATGTTTATGCACCTCTGGAAATTATTGAAAGTCGGCAGTGTAAGGCTTGGTGTAAGGCTGAAACTGAAGAAGAGAAGGTACGGAAGTTTGTCAAGTTTATCATTGAGAAGGGTATTTTCTGAACTTTTCAAAGCAAAATTGAGTTGGATCCGTTCGTAATTGCACGCAAAGCAATAGCGTATTGTCGTTCTCTCATGAAGCTGCAGGGAGTTACTAGAGGTAAGCTACTTCGTTTTTTCTAGCTCGTCTATATTCTGATATACGTTTTGTTAGACTTACAGCTGTTAGGAAAATGTTCTCTGATTACATTTCGATAACTTTACTTATTTTATCTGATACTCTATCGACTTGATATTTGCGTGCTATGTTTTTCAATCTTATGCTCGCATAACTACACTTCAGAACTCGTTTCTTTCTCCCTGAAGTAAGAGTATCCTTTAGGTGGTACAACCTACCAAATGCCATTTCCCGTTGAGGAGGCTGAAGCGGAGTTCAGAGCGATAAAGATTGGATATATGCCGTCAGAAGTCTGCACACGCTGAAACGCATCTGAAGTGAGCAAAGCAAGTTCAATATCACAAGTTAAGAACTGCATTATAGAGATTTATTGGCAAATGAGCTCTTGGCAGTCAGCTAAAACGAAGGCCTAACCATCCAAGCTAATCAAGGATTTCACAAAGAAGCAAATAGGGCATATGCCCATTATAGATCTCAATGAATAAGTACTGCGTGCATCATATAGACATGTAGTTGACTATTATATCAACTATGAATGATCATTTGACTTCTTGTCCAAAATGAATTGTTCAATTTTTTTTTTGTTCTTGCAAGCAGGTATAGCTGATTCTTAGTGGTAAATTGTTTGCATGCAAACTTTTGATATACATATCTAACAGATGTCCTTATTGGGGATGGCATCAGCTTGCACACAGCATATGCAGATTTGCACCACATGTCGCGCTAGTGAACATGTGCAAAAAATTTTTTTCCGGGGCTCCGCCCCGGTCCCCGCAAAAACGAAGTCCCCTTTGCTTTTTGCTCCAAGAACGAAGTCCAGCCTGCTTCTAGACGATCTGTGCCGGGCCCTGAAGGTTATGTAAGCCGAACAGTTTCGGTAAATTCTAAGTGTTTCAGTGAAGGCTCCGGTGTTTTGTTTTGCTGCTGTGGTTCGCATTTTTAAGTACTTCCGCAGCACCTCACTTGTGAACTTCCACAGCACATTCACAGGACTTTTGCAGGAGACCTATCAAAACTTTCGCGAAGGTTTTGCGGATGTACCGGGTTGTCTGAGCAGTACAGAAATTGACCAAATCTTTTATTCGCCTGAGTGGGATTCTGAACATATTGTTAGTATCTGCTTTCGAGCTATTATCAAGCGTTCTTGATTTGTCTCAAACAGAGTGTAAGTTCAAACCAAAAACAACGACAACTTCAGAATAGGAGATAGTCAGGTCAGTAAGTTAGATGAGCTGCGCATCATCCATCATTTTGCGAGGATTAGGCGGACGATAGACACTAAAGCTTTTGACGAGACTCAGTCGTGAGCGGAGAGCGATATAAGAGAATTCATTTGAGGCTGTGATATGTCCAAGATTCTTGATCTAAATATTCGCTTTTACAAGGCAACGAACACCGCCTTCAGTACTGTCAGTATGGTGGACAAAATAGATTGAAGAAAATCTTTGAGTCACGTAAGCCAACCACGATTAAATTATAGAATTAAGTCTGGTTTATAACGGCATAGCTTATGTAGAAGAACATCTTGTTTTACTCCTTGAAGGAGTTCAAAAGAAAACATTTTAGTAAAACATGCATTGGACCATGCAAAGCTAGTGGTTTTCTCGATGAAAATGTGCGAGCCTATAGATGTGCTTGAGTTGTCGTAGACAACTTATTCGCGCTCTGCAGTCCCTTTAATACGCCCTTGCTTGCTGACGGAGCTTCACTCCGACCTCCTTTTCTCTTCTGCCATACTTCTTCATACAAAAATGTCTGGAAAACCACATCCAGGAAGATGGTGTGCGTTTGCGAGGACGAACCAGTAGTATGAAGAAGAACCATCTACATCGTGTCCCACAAGTCTAACGATTTGATAGAGTTCGCTAGCACTACAGCTTAGGTCACGTGCACCAGGGATGTCAATTACTTTCTTCCCCAGGTCTCGTGCACACTCACATATCTGTAATCCAGATGGTTCTTCCATGATGCCGCTTATTATCATAGGCCGTGCGTGCTTCAATCTTCGCTGCATGATCCTTCTTTCTAAAGATTCTCGGAGAGGATTACCAGCATTTTATTAATCACTGGGTCAGCCTCCGCCTTCTTATGCCTGTTGCACCCCCCCCCTGACAGTACTCGTACCACCATTGAGAATATCCACATCATGCACTGCTTTAGCAACAACTGAAGAGGAGATTGGTAAACGGACACCTTTTTTGCTGTTGCTCGCTTATCTGGCAGACATGCTTTGGCCGACTAGACTGATAGAAACTAGATTGGAGCATAGGTGCGATAACGTGAAAATGACCCCTCCAGGGTGAAGGGGGTCACAGCGGTTGCAGCCCCTCCGAATGAAGGATGTTTCACCTGGTAGAGAAATTATAAAATGCCGATCGGGGGGGGGGGGGGTGGGGGAAGCCATGGTGTTCCTCATCATATTCCGAGTCAAACTCTATAATTTTCAACCATGCCGTCAATCGTTGTCTTTTTTCTGAAATGCGAACCGAAAATGAAAGTGTGAAAGATGTGCTGCTGGATTAGCGCGTAATTATGTTTCTGACCAGCACCTTGTATTTTTTTAGAGTTTCCTTTTCTTTTTTTTACATCACCCTGCCTGTTTTTGAAGTTACCATGGAAGATGGCATGCGAAAACATTCGTTTCGGAAAGACTTAGACAATTTTTGAGCATTTGCAAATTTTTAAAAAGAAAAAATTCATATTTATCTAGATGAACAGCAACGTCAGTTATCATTGCTTTTGAACCTGTCCAGGTTCGGCTGTCTCTTAACCTTGGCATGGTAGTTACTCGTAGTGGGATTGGTTGAGCGAACTCCCAAGGTTGATAGCATCTTGTCCTCCGCTTTCAGTGAATACATAGTTTGCCTGGAGTCTGATGAAAAAGTGTCTGGTAAGGGTGTGGGTAGTGATACTTTAATATTTATGAGTTTTTGGGTTAAAACAGTCCGTAACTTTCGAAGATGAACAACTTGTACAAGTAGATAGCCACCATTGGAACCATCTCGTCCTCCGCTTTCAGACAATTTATACTTTGTCTGGGTTTCTTCAAAAAAGTACCTGGGTGAAGGGTGTCCCAGTGATTTCTAGAGATTTTCGAGCTTTTAACATAAAAAATTCATAACTTTTGCAGATGAACATCTTTAACGCCGAGATAGTAACCACTGGAACCGTCTCGTCTTCCGCTGTCAGAAAATATACACTTTGCCTGGGGTCCGTTGAAAAAAGTTCCTGGTGAAGGGTGGGTGAGACTCTTATAATGGGAGTTCTCAAGTAGACTATTAGGTTGTAACAGAATTAATACAGGTTTTGAATTCCAACCGCAATAAGTCATACACTTCTCATTTCTAAGTAGGTTGCAAAATACCAATCGATAGAGCAAAGCAATCTCTACAAGGTGGCAATCTTACTTCAGCAACAACTCGCATCCACCTCGAGTTTCGAGCCAAATACTAAAAAGATTCAACTGTCCGAAAAATTGAGAAAAATCGTAACTCAGTTCATAAAAATCCTACAAAAGTTCTAACTTGCTCACGTAAACACATTCCACATAGGCATCTATACACGCCGTTGCCGTGTTTTTTTTTCTCTGTTAGAAATCAAGTAAACGGAAATTTTCGTGCATTTGCCATTTGCCATTTGTTGTGTGCCGTTCCCACATAAGTAGTTGTATACTACAAATCTGTAGAAGTACAAACTTAAATTTTCAGCTCTCTACAAGCTTTAGTTCTCGAGAAATTTGAATTTTAGCTTGGACCACATGACTAGCGAAAACTGTACTCGATATTTTTCGAGAACTAAAGCTTGTAGAGAACTGGAAACTCATGTTTATACTTCTACGTGGGAACGGCACAGCATCACTTTGGCAGACGCACGAAAATTTCCGTTTACTTGATTTCTAACAAAGAAAAAATACGGTAAAGGCGTGTATAGATGTTCTATGTGAATAGTGTTTACGTGAGCAAGCTAGAATTTTTGTAGGTTTTTATGAACTGACAAGGGAACCGTGTCGAGTCGAAGTGGCCTTTCCAGACGAGACCCATACCGCTTTGAAGAGCATTAATCGGTGATTCCAAATCTGCTTTCCAAATCTGCCAAGCGCCTCTGGACGCCGAGTTATGCTCGTTTTTCGGGTCAAAAAATTGAATGCAAAACTGAAGCAAAATCGCCCAAATTTGCTTAAATGCTCCAGTGTCAAGTATCAGAGCTGTTTATGCAATGGATACATTTTATTCAATATGCTAATACTTAACATTGCTTTATCTGAGCGCTGGAAAGATTGTAACAATCAATTTTGCCTAGATTCTGCATTCATTTTTCGTTCCGAAGAACGGTTATAACTCGGCGTCCAGAGGCGCTTGGCAGATTTGGAAGGCAGATTTAGAACCACCGTTTAATACCCTTCAAAGCAGTATGGGTCTCATCTGGAAAGGCCACTTCGACTCGACACGGTTTCCTTGTGAGTTACAATCTTTCTCAATTTTTCGGACAGTTGAATCTTTTTCGTTTTGGCTCAAAACTCGTGGTGGATGAGAGTTGTTGCTAAAGCAAGATTGCCACCTTGTAGAGATTGCTTTGCTCTATCGAACAGAACTTTGTAACCTACTTAGAAATGAGAATTGTATGACTTATTGCAGTTGGAATTCAAAACCTGCATTAATTCTGTTACAACCTAATATTTTTACTATGGTAAAAAAATCCTCCACCTGAGAACTCCCATAATAAAAGTCTCACCCACCCTTCAGCACGCACTTTTTTAACGAACCCCACTCAGAGTATATATTTGCCGAAAGCGGAGGACGAGACGGTTCCGATGGTGACCATCTTGGCGTGCAAGATTCTCATCTACAGAAGTTCCGAATTTTCTTATGTTAAAAACTCGAAAATCTATAGAAATCACTAAGCACACCCTTCACCCAGGCACTTTTTTGGACGATATCATCTTATATATAAAGCTGAATGTCTGCTTGTATGTCTGTCTGTATGTATGTGTGTCTGTCTGTCTGTCTGTCTGTCTGTCTGTGTGTAAGTATGTTCCGAATAGAAAATTCCATTTCTGAACCGATCCGGACCAAACTTGGCACACATACACATCGGGCCCCGGCGGTGTCATAGGCTACTTTTCGTATCGATCGATATCGATTTTATCGATTTTTTGCAAAATTTGAGCTGCGGGGCTGGGAGTTGGCACAGGGGGGTAAGTGAGCATGGGGATTCCGAATACAATATTAGATTTTAAAATCGTGCATTACTTTTATCGATTTTATCGATTTTTTGCAAAGTTTGAGCTACGGGGCTGAGGTTTGGCACAGGGGGGTAATCGAGCATGCTGATTACGAATATAATAATGACAGAGCCGGGCGGAGCCGGGTAAGTCAACTAGTGCTATATATTTTCTGAAGGAGGACGAGGCGGTT